ACTGAAAACCGTTCAAACTAATAAACTCTAGTTAGATGAGGCATATTTTTTGTACTCTGACCACCTCAACTCCTACTAGTGGATTTAGCATTATACTTCGAAGTATGTACTGTATAAGCGGGGGTAGGCCGAAGTCCTGGGGTTACAGGGTTACGGGAAGAAAATTGCTTGAACGGTTTTCAGTCTTGGCTGAACGGTATCCAGATTTAGTTTCCCTCAGATTCCGTGTTGCAAACATCACCCTGAACTCCAATACCACTGAACCCATCATGGTCCACTCATCAAGTTTCGCTGACACGTGGTACGTGAGAAGTAATGTCCCCGTAATGCACAAGCTCAATCTCGACTAAAAATTGAGCTTTCGGGCAATAAAGCGCACGTCACACGCAAGTTTCTGGAAGTTAGGTTCACAAAGTACACTGTACAAAGATCGCGCCGGTTGCCCAGTTTCATGATGGCGACTTCCTTCGTGGTCCTTCTAAGGATAAGTTGTTACTGGCGATTGCGCTGAGTGCAAGTTCGATTTTTCCGTTAGATCGCTTCAACTTCGAAGATCTGGGGCCAAAGTGGGGCTGCCTGTATTCGTCTCGTCGGAACTCTCGTTGTCTTTAATGGTAAGAGTAAGAATAGGAACGAGTTGAAAGAGTTTCGACATGTCTCCTCCCGTGAATCTGCTATTGGATGTATGTTCAGCGCGTGGGGGTCCTAGGGGGTGGGTATACAACGCATCGAGGAGTTGAAATCGACACTAGCGATCTTCGACCATGTGTCACTTACAAGGGTCACATGATACTCAGAGTCCCAACTGCTCATTCGTTCGTTCCAGTAATACAACTGCCGCATCAAAATCAAACTTAATACGTCCAGAACGAGGTACGAATCACTCAGACTCAAGAACAACCCGAGTCATCATCACCCCAACCACAACGATGACCGCAACCATCATGCCCGCCAACCTCACCCCAAAGTTCATGCAGGATGGGTTTCGAAACTATTTTACATATGGGCGTCGCCACTCCTGACACGAGGTAACGCAAGTCAACTCCAACCAGACGACCTGTGGCCGCTCGGGTTTGTGAACCAATGCCAACAGGTGAGCACCTCCTTTGAGCCCAACTATCGGTCGTCGTCGAGGTCGATTCTATGGGCCATCGTGTTGACGTACGGGTGGCGGTTTGCCTTTGTCGGGTTGCTGCAGCTAGGCGCCATCGGTGGCACATTGCTTGGGCCATGGGTGCTGCGGCGGATTCTGTCGGCCGTGGAATCCACTTCAGACAAGTCGTCCTTTGACGTAGCATCGATCCTACAGTTGATCACGCTCTTGTTCGTGGTCAAGGTGGTCCAAGCTGTGGTGTCCGCACGCGCCAACCTGGAGAACCAAGTGATTGCGGTTCGCATCACGTCGGCACTGCAGCATTTGCTCTTCCAGAAAGCCGTGGCGCTGGATGCAAGGTGTAGAAGAGATAAATCCGCCGGGGAAATCGCTAACTTGTTCAGCAACGACATCCAGTGGATCATCAACTTTTCCGTGTTTGCCAACCAGTTATGGCTCATTCCGGTGCAGGTTCTCGCGACCACGACGATGCTGTACGACATCATTGGGTGGGCCACGTTTCTCGGGTTTGCGGTGATCGTCGTGACTCTAGTGGGCAACAATTACCTCGCTGCTGTCCAGCACGACGCGTTCAGTGTTCATGGACCGCAAAGATCGCCGCATGAAGTGCGTCAACCAAGTATTTGGCGCCATGCAAACCATCAAGTTCAATGCCTGGGAAGACAAATTTGGAGCGAAATTAACCGACACGCGGGACGCCGAACTTTCAACCTTATGGCGCATCTTCACACTAGCCAGCGCTAGCACCGCAGTGCTGTATCTTGGGCCGGTCCTCGTGACCATCGTGTCGTTTGCCACGTACACGATCCTGATGCACCAGCAGCTCACCGCCACAAAAATGTTTACCGTGCTCACCCTGTTCAACCTGCTCAAGTTTCCGTTGAGCGGTCTCCCTGCCATCGTAGCCAGCATGATGCAAGCACTGGTAGCCGTGCGTCGATTCACAGAGTTCCTCAGCCTCGACGAAAAGAATCCGTCGAATTTGTGGACACCTACGACTACACCTTCACATCAGGTAGCAGGATACAAAGCGCAAAACATGGACATTGTCATGGAAAACGCCAGCATTGGCTGGGACGCTGCCAAGCCCCTCTTCAAGGACGTCAACTTGAAGGTCAAGCGAGGCGAGTTTGTGGTCGTGCATGGCTCGATGGGCGAAGGCAAGTCGTCGCTGTGTGCCGCCTTGTTGGGCGAAATGGACAAGTACGAAGGAACCGTGTTTGTGGGGGGTCGCGTCGCGTACTTTTCGCAGCAAGCGTGGATTCAAAACATGTCCGTCCGCGAAAACATCCTCTTTGGCCACCCCTATGACCGCGTCAAGTACAACAACGTGTTGGCAGCGTGTGCGTTGTCGAAAGACCTGACGCTGTTTCCGGCCGGCGACCGAACCGAGATTGGCCAGAAGGGGGTCAACTTGTCTGGCGGCCAGAAGGCTCGCATCAGCTTGGCCCGGGCGTGCTACAGCGACGCCGACATTTTCATCTTGGACTCGCCGTTGTCCGCCGTGGACGCGATCGTGCAAAACGAGATTTTCACCAAGTGTTTGCTCGGATTGCTTCGTCACAAGACGATAGTGTTGGTGACGCACTCGCCGGAAATCATCGCGTCCAAGTTTATCGACCGTATTGTCGAAGTTAAGGACGGCAAGTTGGTGCAAAAGGTGGTGGCAAAGGACGCCAATCATCCGATTCTGGTGGCACCACTAGCTGCCCGCAAGGGCTACACGGCGACGGACGAAGACGTAGACTTGGAATCGTCGCCGCCATCGTCTTTCACCGACAACGTTTCGCTGATTACCCCCACGTCGACGACTCCATTTCCTGTGAATTTTGAGACCCAGTTGTTTACGCCGGCGGTGGAATTCTCGGGGCAGACTTTCGACGAAAATCCAGTCGCGTCTGGCCGTCTTGTCTTGGACGAAGTACGATCCAAGGGTCGCGTATCGGCCAAAGTGTTCGAGGGGTACATGCAAGCGGCCGGCGGTTGGTGGGTGTTTGCTTCGTGGATGGTGTACTTGTCCATCTGGCAGAGCCTGACGGTGGCCGGGGACATGTGGCTGAGCCGATGGAGCGGCACGGCAGCGGTCGTGTCGGACGCCACATTTCTCGACCAATCGGGGTTCTACATGGCCATTTACGCGAGTCTGTCTGTCGGTGCCGTGGCCATGACTGTGTTTCGCACGCTGTCGATATACGCCTCTGGAATCCGCGCCTCTCGCACGTTGTTCAACCAAATGACCACGTCCCTCCTTCGTGCCCCCATGTCGTTCTTCGACACGAACCCGTTGGGCCGGGTGCTGAACCGATACAGCAATGACATGAACACCGTCGACATGGGACTACCGTTCGGCCTCTCGGGGCTCACCGCCACCGCGTTCATTACGCTGTTTTCGCTGGGCACGATGATTTACGTGATCCAGTACATGGGGCTGCTGCTGCTCCCGCTTCTGTACGCGTACGCGGCCATCGGCCGCTTCTACGTACAACCTGCCCGGGAAATGGAACGCGTCAACAAAACGACCAAGTCGCCGCTGTTGAATTTGATCTCCGAGTCGATTGAAGGCGTGCTGGTGATTCGCGCGTTTGGCGACAAGCAACTGCGCCGGTTCCAGCGCCAACACTACCGCAACGTCGACACCAACAACGAAGCCGCCTTTGCTTCCCAAGTGCTGTCCATGTGGTTTTCCCTGCGCATGCAATTGACCAGTGCGTTTGTGCTGCTTGTTGTGGCGTCTTCTTTGGTGGTGCTGCGCGACTACTTGAGTGCGGGGCTGATTGGTCTCGCGCTGAACTACGTGTTTACTGTGCTCGGCAACTTCGAGTGGATTGTGACCCAATGGTCCCAGATGGAGACGGCCATGGTCGGCCCCGAACGGGTCTCAGAGTACTGTAGTATCGAACCGGAACCCCCGCGCGTGATTTCCGGCGCTGTGGCCAAGGACTGGCCCACGAATGGCGACATTGCGTTTACCAACATGAGTTTCCGGTACAAAGAGAACGACCCACTGGTGCTCAAGGACGTGAATGTGCACATTCAATCCGGTGAAAAGGTCGGCATTGTGGGGCGGACGGGAGCTGGCAAGAGCAGCCTGACCATGGCGCTGTTCCGCATCAACGAACTGGCTGGAGGCAGCATCAAGATCGACGGTGTCGACATCTCCCGCGTCGGTGTGAAGACGCTGCGCAGTAGCATTGCTATTATTCCTCAGACTCCCGTGCTGTTTAAAGGCCCGCTGCGCAACTACTTGGACCCGTTTGGAGAGTTTGGTGATGCCGACTTGTGGGGGTGCTTGGACAAGGTGCGTCTGGCTGATCGCATCGGAGGTGTGGAGGGCAAGTTGGACAGTCCCGTGGAAGAAAACGGAGAGAATTTTAGCGTGGGGGAGCGGCAGATGTTGTGCATGGCGCGGGCACTGCTCCGCCAAGCGCGCATCGTCGTGATGGACGAAGCCACGGCGGCCATCGACCACGAGACGGACCAGAACTTGCAGCGCGTGATCCGCACCGAGTTTGCGTCGTCGACGGTGCTCACGATCGCCCATCGTCTGGACACGGTGCTGGACGCCGACCGCATTATTGTGTTTGACCAAGGCCGATTGGCCCAATGCGACATCCCCGCGGCGTTGATCGACGCTGGCGCCGGTATCTTCTTTGAATTGTGTCACGAGGGCGGGTACTTGGACAAAGTCGTCAGTAGCCAATCAGTAGAGTAAGTCGTAGGGCATGGAGAGTTGTACTGTACACATAACGTTAGTTATTCTTTTTTGGTATATATCGTGTTTTGGGCATTGATACTCCTTGGAATACACACTGCGAACATCAAAGTTCA